TGTGCACGACACAGGTGAGCCCAGGCTGGACCGCAGTGTGCCAGAAGCAGAAACCTTGGGTGATGCCACACTGACCACTTGTTTTCTCCCTTGCAGAACTGTTTGTGGCTCTGGCTGTGTGTGGATCCATTCTCTTTCTCCTTATCATCCTCCTGCTGACTGTCCTCTTGCGCATCCAGTCTCAGCCCCCTGGCTACCGGCACGTTTCCAATGAGGGAGAAGAGCAGGCATGACAGTTGCTGCAGCTCCTTCCCCAGCAGTAGGAGGGAGCAGTGCTGCCCGTGGTGAATGGGCACCAGTTACCGAGCTTTCTTCTGCTGTGGCCACTGCTTCCCAGAATGAAGCCGGACTGCAATTTTTTGATGTTTCCTCAAGGTGATGTCCAAGGGAGTAGACCGAGCTACTCATCTGAATTGTAACTCTGAAGCCTCCTGGTGTGTGGTGCCCCTAGCCCTTGTGCAGCTCAACTCAGCTGGGACTCCCACCATGGCCAGTTGGAGCTGCTGCTCCCCACAAATAATTTTTCTCCTTTCAGAGACTGTCACTGTCACCACTTGCCATGACTGTGGCAGAGGGGCCTGGGTCAGGTGCAGCTCAGCCAGGAGTCAGCATTTCTTCAAGATCAGCCTGCTTTGTGCAGGTTTCTCTTAAGCACAGGGCTCAGGATGGTGGGAAGGCTGGGTTTGGAGCAGAGGGCCCAGCTCACCAACACTGCATAGAGACTTATCTGCCCTCAAGGCAGCAGGAGCTGCTAGAGATGATAGAAGATAGTGAACAACATTCCAGAGGTTGCTGCTAAGTATTTTCTGTTAGCAACTGGTCTTTTTTACCCTCAACTTTTGCTTCAAGAAAGAAGCACCTGCCTGGAGGCAGGACAAAATTGGAAACCTAGCAATAGTTTCTCAGATTGGCATAGTATGCTACATGTGATCCACAGAAGCAGAGCTTTAATCAGTAAATGAATTCATGCGACTAGCCATAGCAAACCTGCACATACTTTATGTGTAATGTTGGCTATATAAAGGAGAGAGTTCCTGTAGAACAAAAACTTAAGCTCTTTCTAAAGATTTTTTTCTTTTGAACTTTATCTCCCCATATGTGAACTTATCTATTACTAGTGTCTTTGCAGAAGGATCCAGGAAGGATCCTCTAACTGGAGATGGACCAAGCATCAATTATGAACCCTGAAAATATGCTCTAATGGCAGAAAAATTTTCTAGTGTCATCCACGATGCATAGCAGAGCTGTTTAACTAAGACTAAATGCCAATGTCTGTGGTCTTTCTTCCCATCTTCCACACTGGATAACCTTTCCTTGTCCCAGCCTCCCCCCTAAATCAGTATTTGGGGGGTAATTGTAGAGCCCTTCACTTGCCATTTTCCAAAGTATGATTTTTTTTTTCCTCTGCACTCTGCAGCTGCTGTAGGAAACTATGCCCAGTGCTTCCTACCTGCCTTTTAACCTTTGGCAGAGGAAGAGAGACTGCAGCAGGCACCAGAGGCGCTGGCTCTTCACATGGTGATGCTGCACATTCACTTCCCACTTTTAGTTCCTTTTCTGGTGCAGTTCCCGTCCCTTCTTGGCGGCAGACACTAGCTCTTAGGTTACAGACATTTCCTTTTCTTCCCCTATGGAGCATCATGGG